AAAAAAAAAAAAAAAAAAAAGAATAGCCAGCAAGTGGAGAAACTTACCTCAATAATGCAAAAATGTCTCCCTACTTACTTCCTTTCAATGTTCAAGCAAAACAAAGCCCTCTCCACGTTCAACATGACAGAAACCCTAAATGATAAGGTCTTCATGTTTTTAAGAAGAAAGTATGAGAATGGTTGGAAATTGCTGAAACAGTAAAAGATTTTATGAGCTCTCAAAGTACTTCTAGACGTGTAGATATGACAACCCAATAAAAAGGAACACACACACAACCTGGATCCTTCAAAAATCTAGATTTCTGCCTTTCCACACCTTAACTTGGTTCGGGTCGGTTCCCAAGCACTTTCTCTTGGAAGTGAGAAATCCTCCAAAGACACTAGGGGAGGCCCAGGTGTGGCAACCTTCAGTGGGATGAGGGATGACCAGAGGAAAGGTGGCGAGGGACGCACTTAAGACGCGCGGAAACTGGAAACATGTCTTCTGCAGTCAGCTTCTTCGGATTTTCCAGCACTTAGAAGCAAGTTCTACACCTCCAGCGCCCCGGTTTCTGCAGGTCTCACCCAAGACCCCCACCCCCACACCCGCCCTTACGCCACCCGGCCTCGAGCCCCGCCCCGGACGCTGGACCCGTGGGTGTAACTGGAGCACGTGTTCACATCAAAAGTCTGGGTCGCGAAGGCAGACACCCCAGGTCCCGCAGAAAAACCTCCACGAAATATTGGGAGACTCCCTTTAAAAAAACCAAATCTCCAGGACGGTGCGAGTCGGCGCGCCGGGGGCGTGAGTGCGGTCCACCAAGCGGGCTGAGCTCGGTGCCGGCTCTCGGCAAAACTAACAATATTTGTTAGGCCCTAAACTCACAAGCCCTAACAGCGCTAAATCCATTCACTCAGGGAGTATTGCAACCTGGGACAACGAGCGCCTCACACGCCCAGCTACGCGCCTCAGGAGCACACCGATTGGGGCGCAACTACTTATGCGCACGCGCCCTGCATGCCGGTGCTTTACCCTTAGCGCAGAGCGTCTAAAACCAAGCTACGGTGGCTCTGCTGGGAATAAATTATTAAATTTTACTGTTCTGCAAACCCAATCCGGGAGGTATGACCTGGCTGGCACAATTTAGGAAGATGGCCACGAAGGCACTTGGGGGAGTAGATATACGTATTTGGGAATGGAAGGGGTGAAGTCTGGCCCATGAGTAGGAAGAAAATTCAGCCTCCACCTCCCAACCGGTGGCCCCGAGTCAGCAACTTAGTGCGCCCCAGCACTGGGAGCACCGCCTTGGGGGCGTGGTGACGCACTGGCCTTCTGGGGCGGGGCCTGTTTCTGTCGCGCCCTTGCCCCGCCTAGCCCCGCTCCAGGCGAGGGCGCCGCACCCACACTGCACTGCACAGTTTTGTTCTGCACCAGCCGTTCGTAGGTGATCCAGGTGAGTACTAGCACCTGGGGCAGCAGTGATTAGCGGGCCACCGGGGGCATTTCAGCCTCTGTGCAGGTTACTCCCATATTTCAGCCTCTCGGAGCTGAATAGAGACTCGCTGTCTCTAACCTCCCTCAACCCTTTTTCAGTAGATTAGAGCTCTGAATTTCCATCCCCTCTGCTCTGAGCTCTTGCCCTGCATCTTCTCCCTGGTGGAGTGGGTCGGGAGCGTCTAAGAGAGGCCCGACCTCTTTATCTGTAACTCAGAAATTCTCAAGGTCAACACTTCCTCAATTCCTTTCTTTCCCTCTCCTGCTCTCCCCGGGCTGTGCAGTCTGGGGCACCCTTTTTCTGCCTTCCCGAGACCACCTGCCCTTGCCCTCTGCTGCCCCAGCGCAGAGGATGAGCGAGCGAGACCCTGCAGTAGGAGTGGTTGTGCAGGCCTGAGCAGTAACACTGGTTTCTGAAGTGGCCTGTGAGCGCTGCGCCCTCTGCGGTTGTGAATGTGTTGCTAGGGACGGTCGGGAGAGCCTCGGAGGAAATCGTGTTTGTTTTCCTTTGCCTCTTAGAAACGTTTCTCCATTTGTATTGGAAAGGGGGTCATTTCCTACCACTGCCTTAGAGCGGGAGACACCTCTGGGAGGATGGGGGACTCTTAAGGTTCTTCCTTCGATTTCAGAAAATGCACCTCCTTATCTGGGGTACCAGCACGGAGCCCCAGGGCTACAGTAGTGGGGCAGCTGCAGGGCGGTGGAAGGCGCTGGAGACTACTTAGTGAGTCATTCCCCGAAGTTGTGGCTTCTGCTGATACTTTCCTTGAGAGTCACTAGTTTATGAGCTACATTGTAGCGTCGGGGACGAGTGTGGGAAAGGAGGAAAAGCAGAGATGAGGATGGGTAGAAACAGAGGCAGGGGTTAGAACTTTAATTCCTTCACTGGGGACAGGAGGTGCCCTGGAGAGGAAGGCGCTTCCAGCTCTGCAGATGTGTGCTGTGGGCCTAGGTGTGGTCCTGCGGAATTGCTGCAGATTTTAGCTTCCTCGTGGGAGGGAGCTGCAGCCAGGGCTTCTCTTGGGAAATCTGTAGATCACCTGGAGCCTGCAGTTCTGGGAGGCACCCAAGGTTATTGGTCAGAGTTACAGGCTATATTTTATTTTAGTGGATTCTGAGAGCACATTGAGTCAGATCAAGAATGTTTATTCTCATAGATGAATTTAAGGAGTTAAAACTAATATATAAAATCAAAACAAATACTTTCATCCCTGGGAAGACTTTCCGTTAAGCTTCCCTCCTGACACAATGTTACGGAAATAGAAAACTTTGTCAAGTGATTTTTTTTTAACCAATGTTACTATATATAAATCGGCAGAGAGACTGTCACTAACCATAGAAACTGCGCTACAGGGGCCTCCTTAGATTAAGAAACAAAACTGAAGAAGGGCAGCCGTCCCCTTTATTTAGACTTCCTCCTGTTGGCTTAGGGTTCTGAAAAGACACAATCCTGGAAGAGAGAACCTCCTCGCCTGGAGGTTAGCACCGAGAAGGAACATACAGGAAAGAAGGGCTTTATCCACTATTCGAAGACATGCTGGAAAGCCCCAAGAGCAGTCTGGAATGAGGTGGATGTCAAATCAGTCTGTCAAAAGCAATTTAGTGCCTACTGCACATCTATCTGTATTTCAACATACTGTGCCCTATCTTCATGCTTAAACCTTCTGAATCTATATTTGGAACACCATTGCCGACCACAATTGACCATGAACCATTTTGCACTTTAAAGCAATATTTGTTTAGAAGAATATACTGCTAGTTTTTTTTTTGCATCCCAATTTATTAATGCTACTATGAGCATACCATCTTGCTGAACAAAAAGAATTTAGCAGTTAGCAGCAGGTAAATTATTGCTATGTATAATAAAATTCCTGACTGAGTTTCCTTCACTCTCTCTTACAGTACCTACCTACCTATCTACCTACCTACCTACCTGTCTTTGAGGAGAAACGCTGTAATGAGGCAACAGGAAAACTGTACTTTATTTCACATGCATTCACAAATGCCTTTAAGGATTTTATCCTTTAGAATCATAGATCTTGCTGTTACCCTCTGAGTTCTTTCTAGAGTTAATCTGTTCATTAACTGTAACTTGAGTTCTAAGATTTAGTTGCCTTATTCCACTCTTTAAAAATAAATAAGTTACACTTTATTTAAAAAAAAATAAGTGATATTTTATTTTTAAAATAAATAAGCAATGTGAGCAGTTGTACCACAGCATCATTCTAAGTGTAGACAGGCATGAAAAGGTAAAACCTAGGTGGTTCCTTCCTTTGGAGTGGTTGGTACCCTAAAGGATTCAGCAGCTGCTATGAATTAACTACAATCTGCCTGTATTTCTTGTAATAGAAAATTACCAAGTGGTGTCAATGTGACTCATTCGAGAATTTTTTTTTTCCCCCTCTGGAAGTCATAGCTTAGTTTCTCAATGACTCTTGGTTCCTGTGTAATGTCAGTTAAGGGACAGCTATATGGAAATCATGATATTCAAATGGAGTGCCAGTTTGTGTTACTTTGCTCCTTGCAAACCTATATCCTGAAAGATTGGAGGAAGTTTTTTCCTTCCCATAGTCATTCTGCAGTGCTGACATCATTAAAAAGAAAATCTTTCTCCTTTCCCAAAGGTTTTTTTTTTTCTTCTTCTTCCAATTAGAAACATCTTAGACTTTAATCGGTGGCAAAATTGAAGTTAATTATTTGCTCTCTCTTTTTGTTAATACATTTTGTACTCAGTAGAGGGTCTGGAGAGGTAGAAATGTTTTGGAAGATGTCAGGTGTGGTCAAACTTGCTTTTCAACCTCATTGAGAGACAACATAGCAAAGGGCTGAGAGCACCAACTGGAGCCAGACTTCCTGGGGATGTGAGGATCCGGGCTCTGCCCTGTGATCACTGTGTGACCTTGGGCAGATAACCTGCCCTCTGAGGTTGCTGCCTTCAGACCATGGGAAACATCCAGCAGTGGGCTGTCCCTGGGATCACATCTCTTGGGAAGCTCAGCTCCGAAGGGTCTAGCAAAGCCCAGGGCTTCTAGGTTAGGTGTCAGGGGACCTTCTCCCATAGAACCTTCTGTGTCAAGAATCTGGGAAAGTTTGTCCTCACACCTGCAGGGGAACCTGGGATTTCTTCTGTCTTGTTATAAATCTAGTATTCTTAGATTCCTGAAGAACATTATTGCCAGTTTTTTCTCAAAGGATATTTCAGTTCCATTCAGGCATGTGTGTTTAGTGCCTTATTACACAGAAGGCACACTCCAGAGAAGAAAGCAGGTAATTTGCTTATTTGGCCTTAACAGAGTTTGTATGAGTACAAGCTTGTGCTCTATAACCAAGAACCATTCACTGGAACTTGAGCTCCTGCTGATCTTCCCTCCCCAACTCCCAGCCAGTGCAGCCATGTATTAAGCAATTGTTTTCAGTACTAACAATTTACCCAAGTGTTGGAATAAAAAGGACCTCTGAAATTTGAATATTTTATATGGTCAAACTATGGCTATTTAACTATACAGCTGAATATATTTAGATTATAACACATTTATCTCTGTCTCTTTTTTTTTTTTTTTTTTTTTGAGACAAAGTCTTGCTCTCAGCCCACTACAACCTCTGCGTCCCAGGTTCAAGCAATTCTCCTGCCTCAGCCTCCCAAGTAGCTGGGACTACAGGCGTGTGCCACCAGGCCTAGCTAATTTTTGTATTTTTAGTAGAGACGGGGTTTCACCATGTTGGCCAGGGTGGTCTTGATCTCTTGACCTTGTGATCTACCCACCTTGGCCTCCCAAAGTGCTGGGATTACAGGTGTGAGCCACTGCGCCCAGCCAACACATTTACCTCTTAAAGGGACAGATCTTCCATTCCTCCTAATGTATAGTTAGCTTCCACTTTTCAAATATTCCACCAGCAACACTGATGCATGTTGAAGACTATGGACTATGAGGTACTGGGAAAGACCCACTCTGTGACCTGCTTGCTGCAGTTTGCCTCACTTGAATGAGTAATCAAGTGCTGGATCAGTAATATGATTTCCATTCAACTTTTTGTTTTTAGCCCTTAGGAAACAATCTACTGAATATGCAGGGCAATTGTGGGGGGATGGTTACTTTTCATCACCTAGGTTATTATTCCTTCTTTTAAATGTAATTGAAATCTGGCAGTCACGTAAAAGTTTGACACTCAAACAGATTTTAGCATCTGTTTAATGCAGAAGTGGACTGGAACTAGCATTTTGAAAATGTAGTCTGAACCCAAAGAAACCCCATGACTTTCCTTTTCTCTCCTATCATAGAAACAGATAATTACATTTTTAAAGATTTTGTGTGTGGGTGTGTGTGTTGTCATTCTGAGGTGGAATTTCACCATGTTGCCCAGGCTGGTGACAAACTCCTGGACAGAAGTAGTCCTCCCACCTCAGCCCCCCAAGTAGCTGGGATTACAGGCATGCACGATTGTGCCCAGCTTAAGTTTTGTTTCTAGTAGACATATAATATTGGACATGTTTGTGAGGTACAGTGTGATGTTTTAGTACATATATACATTGTGCAGTGATCAAGAGGATTGCTTTTTATGGGCCGGGCATGGTGGCTCATGCCTGTAATCTCAGCACTCTGGGAGGCCAATGTGAGTGGATCACCTGAATCAGGAGTTCAAGACCAGTCTGGTCAACATGGCGAAAACCCATCTCTTTTGAAATAGCCAGGCATGGTAGCACACACCAGTAGTCCCAACTACTCGGGAGGCTGAGGCCTAAGAATCACTTGCACCTGGGAGGCAGAGGTTGCAGTGAGCTGAAATGGCAACACTGCACTCCAGCCTAGGTGACAGAGTGAGACTCCATCTCAAAAAATAAAAAGAATTGTTTTTATGCTCCTTCCCTCTAGGCTCTTTAATTTCTCCATTGAGCATTGTATGAGCTCCATTGAGCATTATATGGAGGGTCAGCTCCTCTGGCTGGAGATAACTTTGAGGCCTGTTCCTTGGTGGAAACATCTGGATGCAGAAGTGAGGCTGGACAACTATCCAGGGGAGCTTTAAGTGAGCCATGTGGACCCCTGGCACCACCTCAGGGTGTTCTGAGCTACCATCTGGTGTTTGGGACTCAGGGAAGTCCATTTGGTATGATCAGACAAGCTGTTTATGTTACCATCCTTTTGTGTTACTCTCATTAAAATGTTGATTTTTGCCACATAAGGAAGATTGGAATAGCACAGGCAGTCAAATAAGGATTTTAATGAAACATTGGAGAATGGCTTCAAGTTAATCTGTGAATGCTCTGTTATTGTCCCATCCCTGGATACATTAAAAAAAAAAAAAAAGTTGAAACATTTCAGTACAATTTGAGGAGAGCAAATCACACACAGAAATAGGGACTACCATTGTCCAAGCTGGATTTTATGTATGTGGGAACAAGGAGGAGAGCTAAAAGACAATCTTCTCTCCCCAATGTCATTGTCACTTAGTAAAATAAAAGGTAGTGTCACTTCACGGCTCAGAAGTGGTAAATTATTTGAGGCAAGTACCCAAATCCATAAAGCGTGCCCTTTGCTTTGTTTGTGAAATGCTGATTGTGCTCTGAGGGATTTCTGATGGACAGCGAAGAGGGACTTGGAAAGTAGTGAAGGAGAACTTTACCCCAAGAGTGTTCTGTTGAATGTAGTTCAGAAAGCTTTCTGGGTAAGCCTTGTAACTGAATGAACCCTGCCTCAGTGAGATAAGGCAAATGGTAGCAGAAGCAAGAATTAGAGGAAAGGTTGAGCAAAGTTTTGGCATTAGAATAGCTATGTTCCCAGGAAACTCTGTCAGTGAAATTTCTAGAGTTAAGTACCTTAGTCAGATGCCATAATGAAACCCTGTGTTGCTAACTCAAACACTGCAATGGAGCATATATTTTAGGAGTTAGACCAACATTGCTTCATCTTAAGCCCAAGTCTGATCACTCCTAAACTGAAACTTTGTAAGAGTGTGTTGTAGCTTACTTAAAACCCAGTGGCTGACTCTGGCTACACTGAAGTTTTTGCCCTGAGTGTTACTCTATCACCCACAGACCTTGGGGCCCTGCTGCTTACCAGGACATATTACTTTCCTAATCTACACCTGAAAACCCACCATGGCCTGGGGCTTTTTTGCTGCCCCCAGCAACCTATACCTTGCTTCCTTCCCCTAACCTGAAAATGTCTTCCAAAACAATCATGTTTGGCAAGTAATACACTAATACATTTAAAACTTACAAATAGAAGTGTTGCTGTGTTTTTAAAAAACATCATAGGGCCAGGAGCAGTGGCTCATGCCTATTATCTCAGCACTTTGGGAGGCTGAGGCAGGCAGATTGCTTGAGCTCAAGAGTTCAAGACCAACCTGGCCAACATAGTGAAACCCCGTCTGTACTAAAAATACAAAAAATTAGTCAGGCTTGGTGGCGCATGCCTGTAATCCCAGCTATTTTTGAGGCAGGAGGATTGCTTGAGCCCAGAGGTCAAGGAGGCTGCAGTGAGCCCTGATTGGGCCACTTCCACTCCAGCCTGGATGACAGAGGGGGGACCCTGTCTCAAAACAAAACAAAATCCCCAC